CTGCTGGCTTGATTATTTTCAAGGCACTAATGAAGCCACATTAGGAATATTTGAAAATGCGAAAAATATGCTAAAATCAAGTAGTTGGAACCTTTACTATGTACAGTTATTTGCAGCTAATACTGTTAATTCTGGGTTATGTCCCCCTGTCCACAAATCAGTAGAAAGTAAGAAAGAAAAATCATCTCTAGCTTATTGCTCTGTACATAACCAAAAAACAGAAAAATACCATCTAATTAAATCATCATTTGATTTAGAAAAAGAATAAGTCACTTTTCCTCATCTCATTCAGTCATTTTTCTCAGCAAAAGTTTCAGATTTAAAGGAGAGCTCATAAAATTTGTATGGGAAGAAATGTTCTCCATGAGACAATTACTTGCATACTGTACAGGAAAAAGGACCATAATCTGTTTTCTTGGGTTTAGAATTTACTTTGGAAGTTAAGTGAGCATTGTCAAGCACCAATTTTAAAATCTCATTTTCAAAGATAACCTTGTTGGAGGTGATAGAGAGGTTTTCAGTGACAGACTGTTACTTATTATTTTCAGATTTTACTGAATGTTTCTTAATAAGTCTTGCAAGTAGAACAAACTGTCTTTTTACATGATGAAATGTGTAAGATATCACATTCATTTAAGGGTAAGTTGCAAAAAAGGATTGTTGACAAATTCTTTGGTCATAAGCTAGTCATCATGTGGGAAAATAAAGAAAACAAAGACATTTCACTGAGAGGTACACATCAGCTGCCAGAACCGAGGTTTTCTATTTTCATATGATCAAACAAAATGCAAATAAATTGATTTAATTTTACTGAAAAGCATTAGTCTTTCCAGAAACAGTAAAAATTTTTGATAATTTAAAATTTCCTAAAAGGCCTGATGTTAGGTAGTTAGAGATTCAGCTGCATATTTGTGTATGTCAGGAGTCTTTGATTTGGAAACATTCTCATATTCTAGTTTGACATTTTTGCTCCTTCAGTTTCTTAAAATTGTTTCGTTTATTTAAAAACCCATAAGAAAAAATGTCCAGCTTTGGACAGATTGTGGAGCACTCAAACAGTTTCCATTTCGATGAAGTTTCAAAGTGTGGGGAATTTAGGTTATAGATGTAACATGCTTTGTGAATTTACTTTTAAAGACAAACATAATGAAATCTATTAAAATTGATAATAAATTATTCTTCTATCAATCCCTTCAAGTTTATAACTGAATTTTGCATCAGAGAAATTTAATACTATTTCAGAAATACGTGATGTACGAAAGGAAATAAGATTTCCCTAGGATTTCCCTTCATGTTAACATGTTGATCTATTTTTCCCCTTAGGGTTGGCCCTTACTTCTTCCCAAGGAGAATGTCTTTTCAGAAGCGTGGCTGCTCCGGTGTGTAGTTTCAGTTAACACATCCAGGCACAGTGTGAATATGTGGTATAAGTAGGAAAAATCTTGAGCCTGTTTTGGTAGCATGGCAAATTAGGTGCCTGTAAGACAAGAAAACTTAGTGACAGAACAGTTTACTGTACATGATCTTGGCATTATTTCATAGAGAACATAGTTTCACCTTTCTGCTGCTGGGAAGAAGTCTTACTGAGAATTTTGCTGGTTTTTATTTCTTCCTGTGTTCATTATAGTAGTCAATGCTTACTGCCAAAAAACAAAAAGGGAAAGAAAGAATCAGAAGGACATTAACAACATTTCTGGTGCAGTCGTAGAACAGAACATAAAGAATATAATGAGAGTTGTGGGATGTTACTTCATCTGAGGCCTCACTTCACTGAAACCTGATGTCCTGCCTGAACTCTCTAAGTGCAACCATTACATTTCATAAAGAAAGATCTAAAATGACAGGTATTAGCTAGCAAATTAAAAGTATTCCTATATTATGTTATGTTATGTTATGTTATGTTATGTTATGTTATGTTATGTTATGTTATATTATTTATATTATATTGACCTGTATATGAGACCAACATAGAAACCTTTCTTCTGGTAGTTTCTTGTTGGATACTGTGTGCTGGAGATCACTGTACCAGCTTTGTGCAAAGCTGTTGACTTCACTGGGAACTGAGTATCTGTTGTCAGTGAAGATAAAGTTAATTTTCCTGAAGTATGCACAGGCTTAGCTCCATTAGAAGTGAAGAACTGAGTGCCAGTTTCGAAAGTGACCTCTGTCCCTTCCTAGTAGAGTGAATGCATGAATATCATACCCCATTATCTGCTTGGTTGAAGACTGAAGCAATTACAAAGATTAATGTAAAGGATGTACTGATCTAACATCCTCTTCTAAAAAGAATTAATGGAGAGAATATAAAGGATGAAATTGCAATTCAGGTATTAAACAGAAATGTGCATTTATTTTTACTTGGAAAAATTTGTTTTGTAGTTTGTACATTCTGACTGAACATTGTACGCACTTTAAATAAAAAAATAGGGGTAAAGTGTTGAAAAAGTGCAACTAATTTCAAACATCTTTGATTGACTTTTCTTTTAAAAATGTTGCTTTACTTTTTATGACCTCAGTTTACAAAAAGAAAAATGTGTTTTATAAAGAACAAAATAATTTAGGAGATCTGTGAACCATTTAATTTGAGTTGAAAAGTTTTTATTAAAGTGAATGGAGTTACGGTGATCCATTGCAGAGATATTTTGAATAATGATCATTGCTGGCATGTTCTAGTTGCAGTAATAAGTAAAGGAAATGAAAAATGGGTGTTGGACAGTGGCGTTAGCATGGCCCTTCTTCTAGGCTAATATACCTGTGTCCCAGCCAGAGTGGTTTAACTGGATGGAAACCACAATGATACATCTATACTGCTCCTGATGCCCGCTTTGCTCAGATCTAGCTGCAGTAGCTTCTCAGCACACTGTATTATGGAGCTCAAGGTCTTTCTTTCCTTTGGTGGGGTAGAAATCCTAAAATCCTAAATATCATTAAATATGTACAATATGCTAGAAGGAAATTATGGCTGCTCCTAAATTTAGTCAAAATAAAGCATTCATATAAAGTAACTTCAAATATGAATACCATGCAAAAACTTGTCCTGTAAAAAGACAGCACTGTCATTAGCCAGCTGTATACAAATGGTCTTTGATTCTATAAATACTGATGCTCACATGTGAGCAAAAAAAAGCAACTCTACTCACTCAGCATTTGGAGAAACCCATAGACATGTCTGGCGTATTCCTCTCTATAGAAGCTGAATGTGCCAAACTCTTGCCACTGGACTTTCAAGGACTAAAATGATACAAAGTTGAGTGTAAAGAAACAAGATCAGCACTCTACCGTCTTAAACATGGTGAATTAAGGGTGTCCTTTTTGAATAATAAGGGTACTCTGTGTACATTACACTGCATCCTTTAAGCGTGCAGAGATTTGCAACTTTGAGCTTATCAAGATGAAAGACAAGCCTCTTCAGATTCAAATCTGTCAGCTTCCCTGAGAAAATAGAGCTAATAATACAATGAAAACCGGTAGTGAGATAGGCTATGAAGAAAAATGGTCCTTAATGCCTTTGGTGGCTAGGCTTTAATTCCTAAGGTGATCTATTACCTGGTATTTGAATACATGCTAGCACCACTTATGCACCTGTTGATCATTTGCCATCTAGAGATGAGAGGCCCAGAGTGCGTTTTGGACTAGGATTACAGTGTCAGTGAATTAGGTTTCCTGGTGTTGTAACATCAGCTGTGGAAGGATGATCTGCCAAAAATTTAATAGTGCAGGAGAACTAGATGCCTCTCAGCAAAAACACTGTCCTCAGTTCAGACTACAAGCTGTTCTAACTACCTATAAATAAAGCAAAATACAATACTGGTTGTATAATAGCATTTCTTTTTACACCTTCCCTTTTAAAACTTAGGAATAGACAAACAGAAATGCAACGAAAGCAAGTTCAGACTGGTCAAAGGCCACATACCAGACTTTCCACACAGCCTTAATTCTCCTTTGCTCACCAAGAGTGCACTACCAGGGGACCTAAGGAGATGGTTTCCTCCGGATTATCCCCAGCCTCTCTATTAGCCTGTGTTGTAGAGCATACACTTTGTGTGACATCAGCAAACGTCATCCCTGTCATGGCTGCAGCCAGCCCTGCGATACTGAGAGAGTGTTTCATGACACAGTCAGATGGCCGTTTCCACAGGGTTCATAGGTAGAGCAGCCTGGGAAGTGGGAAAGAAACGTAAGCAAATGCAAATGTGACCTTTCCTAGACTCCACTGGCTGAAATTCACAATTCAAATATTGTTTTTTGCAGTTTCTTCCATGGGGTATTAAATGCATAAATCAGTGTGTTTGTATGTTCACCTATATAATTTTGTCTGTTTGTCCATGCTTACCTACAGAAACACAGCAGTAAACATGCAGTGAAAGAAAGGATGAGGTTCATGTAAATTATGATATTAGCCTATCCAGGGCAGTAAGCTAGTGACCGCTTAGCTCTTAGCATTTGGGGCACATGAGGTGTCTGTAAAGAAGCACAAACATGCTTTGTCAGTTCTGCTGTAGTGTGACCTGAAAATGAGTGGCTGAACAATTGGTAAAAAACAGAGCAATTAATTTATTTATTGAATTTACACACAGCCCCCCAAAAGGCATTGCTATAAGCAGGGGAATTTATCATTCTTCACCATATGTGTGTTGCTCCTGCTCATTTTTTTTTATCAGTCTGCCCTATGACAAAGAAGTATCTGTAAATTGTATCTTGTAGCTGTGACTGTTCAGAGACAATGGAAAAGCATGTGCTAGTGCAAAAATTGTTATGGCACAGGACCAAGGCAAGTAAGGTGTTTGGCCTGCTTTCTAGAGTAGCTAGAGGGAAAAAAGGAAAATAAAAAGAAAAAAAAAGGAAAAAAAATATTTCCTCAGGCAGTAAAAAAAAGGAAACATTCTCCATTGTCCTGAACGTATCCTGCTGCACTACACCCAGATAGACCTTATCAAAGACCAAATAGTAGTGGGAAGTGTGGAACTGATTTCAATTTGCATATCATGCTTTCATTGCAGGAATATCAAATTGATATATTTTTTGCCCAGACGTGGACAGATAGCCGTCTTCGCTTCAACAGCACCATGAAGATACTGACTCTGAACAGCAACATGGTTGGCTTGATCTGGATCCCGGACACAATATTTCGTAACTCGAAGACGGCAGAAGCTCACTGGATCACCACCCCCAACCAGCTCCTCCGCATATGGAACGATGGCAAGATCTTGTACACCCTCAGGTGAGCACTCAGTGGCATGCAGAGCCGAAAGCTTCTCCCTGCTCTGGCACAGTAGTAGTAATTTTCAGTGATATCTTTGTTCTCCTCTGCTGTTTTGTTCCTGATGCTTACCTGACCATGCTTGACAAATACTGAAATATTCAGGCATAGGTACTGCAGAGTTTAAAAACCAGTCTTGTCTTTCTAAAAAAGAAACCATGAGAATCAGAAATAGGTCTGTCTAAATTGTAGAATTTGGGCTTTTTAGTGCTTGTAATAAAATCAGGGACATGTAGTCCCATAAAACCTGTCAGAAACCTTTCTGATCAGAGTTAGATGCAGGGCTGGATAAAGTATTTCTAGATTCATGCTAATGCCAATACTTGATTCTTCAAATAATTCACTCTGAAAGATAGTCTGTCACATCTCATCACACCGGTAAATTGCTGGAGGAAAGGCTTTTAGAGTTTTTCTAATCTTTGTGATACCATCAACGGTATGGTATTAGAAATACTGTATATATTTGCATAAAAAAAGCCCGTGGAAATCAAAATATGTGTTTACTTATGGAAGAGATGAATTGCTCAGAAGGGAGCTTTGCCATAAGCCATATTCCACACGGCAAACTTTTTCAGAAACATCCCTTTCATACTACATTTTCTTCAGCAATTGTGTTCAGCATATTGTAATCATACTTGCAATTGCAGTTGGGCTCCAGTAGCAACTCTTTGGCAAACAATAAGAAAGGAATTTAACAGCTGGAAATGCTACTGACATTTCTGGTGCCCTTCCCTTCTTAGACTTGCTCCACTGTGACAGAGCTCTTGCTTATTTCAGTAGCCTTTAGCTAAAGACTTTGGTGATTAGGATGTCAACTCCAATACCCTCTTGGTTTGGTTGCTGGTGTTTGTTCTGTTGTTTTTTCTCTTAAGTCCTGTGTCAGTATTTCAGGGTAAGTTAAGTATCTACCTAATAGTAGTTAGACTTTCATACCTATCACTAAAGAAGCTATTTGTTGAATTGACTGCAAAATTTGTCTGAAACAGCTAAAAAAGGGGTAATACTTGACCCAGTGGATTGTTTGAATAAGCATTTTTAGTTTGTGAAAGATGTTTTGAGTCCTTTTTGCCCACTCACATCAGTCTCCTTTTTACATAGGAGAAGCTGTTAGAATGATCATTGTTCATTGATAACACCGTGTGAGTCAAAAACAATTTATCTGACTTAAGCGAGCACACAGAATTGATATGGCATGGAAGCGGTAACTACTGTATATCCTGGTACTGTCAGGTGTTGATGAGTGTTCTGTATTCAGGAGAAAGTATACGAGGTTCAGTCATGCTCCATGCCTTTCCATCCTCTTCCCTTCCCACTTTTGGGTGTGAATGACTCCTGCTGTAACACTGCAAACCCTCTTCTAGTGTCAGTGCAAAAATGCTGTTAAGTTCCTCACAGGTGACCTTCTCCAAGACAGGGGTTTTCTCTGTGCCATCCTAAATCCAAGACACAAACCTTTCCCCATCCAATTTGTTAGCTTTTGAATTAGTTTAAAAAAAAAAAGAAAAAAAAAGAGGCCAACAAGAAAACCTCATGCTCCACACTTGCTGCATAAATTCAGGCATGCAATTAATGTGTTTGTTTCCTGAAAAAGACTGTATAATAAACTAGCACTTAATGCAATCTACCTGGTAAATAGATTTACTTTGCAAGCTATCAGACTGAAGATTATCTGTTTTTAATAGTCATTTTAAAATCAGCTCCATTCATAGTGTCCTTTGTGTCAGCAATATCACATAAAACAAGCTTTCAAGTGGAGCTGAAGACATTTCGACTAATCTGCTTATTACCCCTGTGCAACTGAAAATGGCATACAGAGATTTATTAAGTTTTTGAGAAACAGCCCAAAAATGACTGAAGGAATTTTAAGTTCATGCTGTAAGTAAATGCAGATACTATTCCTTATAAGATTCTTTATGAGGTTTTAATTTTGTGGAATTACATACTGCCACATCAGCCATATTTCCTATTATTTTTGTAAAGAATAGTTGTTTCCATCCCATGTCCTTCAATGATGAATTGCTAGAGAAAGACATATGTACAGATTTCTTGGGATCAAGAGACTCTTAATGATGTGTCTGAAATTATTTGTGGTTTTAGACAACTATTATTGTTTTGGATCAGGCCTAAATAGCCAATGAACAATCTGCAAATATAGTGCTTTCCTTTCAGGCCTTACTTATGGATGTCAAAGCGCTCTTACATGATACCTAACCCCTGCCTCCTCCTCTGACTGTTCATTGTGCTGCTGTGTAGTAACAAGACGCTTGGTTTCTCCGTAGGCTTACCATCAACGCTGAGTGCCAGCTGCAGCTGCACAATTTCCCAATGGATGAACACTCGTGTCCACTGATATTCTCTAGCTGTAAGTACTGCTTTGATGCCTTGGTGTTGTATACGACTAGTATGCAGAGGCACGAGTTTAATTCTGATTTCTGTCAGGTTGTTCAACCATTCCACAACAGGTATAGGAGGTTTGTGAAAACAAAAGTCAGGTGAGTTAAACTTGATGTCCAGTATTTCTGTGAGGAAAAGTTATTTTTGTGCTGATTCACTTGAAGGAGCTTGAGAGCTGTCTCCTCATGGGTACACCTGCACAGTTTTGTAATCCAAAGTCACACAATGCAAATGTTTTACAAACATTTTTAAAAGGGTGTCCACTAAAGATTTTTCTTTTGATAAACTCCAGGACTCAGGATCTGTGTTCTCCAAAAGCCAATGGAAGATGTATTGATTTGTCTTTCTATTTAGAAAATAGCATTTTCTCCATCACCTCTTAAAAAGAGATAGAAGAATAACACTATTTAATATCTTCATAATAGATATACTGTTGTGATAGTAGGGTATTGATTTCCATTTATGAATAGTATACAAACAGTGATCCTCAATCAGAAACCAGATTTGAATTTCAGCTGATGCAGGGTGTATTCTTCTTTTTCCCCAGGAAAATGTTTTAAAAAAATCTGCCAGTGTAAACATCTCCCTTTCTCCCAGAACATTATCACTACGTTGCCATTTTTTATGATCTGTGTACATAAGTGAGCCTGGGCCAAAACACACAGTGGTGTGTTTAATTCAGATATGTGGAATATATGCATACTCAACTGAACAGGAGGCAGATACCTCCTGAATGAGCTTTACTGCTAATGAATACTTGTCACTGAACTATATGCACCTCAGAAATCTTTAGTTACTGCATAAAGCTACTTTTACCTTGTGGCAATCTGCTGTTGATTTGTTGATGTACTGGGAAAGGAGTGTGTGATCTTAAAAATTAAATCCCAGTCCAGAGATACTAATTAAACCTACCACATAAATTTGATAGGTCCTGTGCTAGCAGTATCCAAAGAAGGTGAACTCTAATAGACAGGGAAGTCGCTTCAAACCTTACATTGCCTAATAGCTAGACAGTTGCTGAATGTAAATAAGTGATGGTCTGGGTTTTTTTATTTAATGAGAGAAGATATCAGTGTGAACTTCAGAAGGCTCCACTCCATCGCAAAGTTTCAAATACATCTTGATTTGCAGAGGTTCCTCCTAATTTAGATCTATTAGCTTGGAGCCCTTCTGCCCTTGAAAATGTACATGTATTAACATCATACATGTACTACCCTCTAGGGAGATGGAGATTACATAGGATCAAGCAGAAGCTAAATGTGTCACAGTTTCTATGGGTGTTCTTTACAGTTTCTTGCCAGATGAAAAACCCATGGAGGAATATTAAAATAATGTTTTATAGTTTTGTCAACATTTTTGGTCATGTTGATAGCAAGAGTTTATTTCTTTAGGTTCATACTCAATTGCGTTCTTTTCCTTGAACACTTTTAGCACGGCTATTATCATAATAGTAGGACATCTCCTGTGTGATTTGTTTGTTTCATAACTCAGTTGTATTTTTAGTGTTGCGTACATTCGTAGCAGTCTCAAGATACATGGCACTCAGTGGGACTTATGAAGTGAATGACTGAGTGAATGCCTGAATGATTTATTACTGCCTGCTATGACAAGTTTCTGAGGGGACACTCTGATTACGGATTCCAAGATGTATGTCTTTGAATAAAATAAAAATGGTTATAGAATTCACAGCACAGCACTGCTTCCCTCTGCATCCCTTTCGTTTGTTCCCTGGCACACAGACAAATCTTCGCAGTTTCCACTGTAGGCAAGCACAAAAAAGCAAAAATTTCAGACAATATTTCTTGCATCTCTACACATACATGAACAAGGTTAATATTTGAAATGTCTTACTTTTTATATTAATTTCCCTTGATATTTCAGAAATGTGAAACTAATCTCATTGTTTCTAGAGTATTTTCCTCTAGTGCCAACTAATTCACACCCTAACCCTGCTGTTGCTCTGGGGACAGCTGTTATTCCTTAGGTGGGAATACTGAGCTCTACTTGGTCTGGTTGCCAGGATGAATAAGGAGAAAACAGCAGCTTATAAACAAAAGACACATCTCAGTGTGCTGACAGTGGTTAGTAAAACCTACCTACCCCTTCCTGTTCTTGTTCCAGAATGGTTCCTGGAGCTCTCTAGTCTCTTTGCTTATAGGAAATAGAAAGTATTGAAATAATTTGAAACCTCTTTACTCTCTGTGCAAGTTTTGTCTGTGCTTCAGGTGACATGATGAGATGAATCATCTGGCATATTAGGGCACGTGGTAGGTGTGTGTCTGTTGTTGCAGTCCTTACGTAGATGGGCACTTATCACACTGCTTATGTGAAAAGTTAAGCCCGATGGCATAATGCAGAGCTGCTATGCAATGCGACAGCTCTTTCCCACTCTGTGTACCAGATTGGTTTGATCAACCACATTTGGCAAGCAGGATTCTTAATACAGAGATGCTACAACATTGACATCAATGGAGGAGGCTGCTGTGCTACTTTTGGTACTCAAGTAGCATATTAAACTGTCTTGGTTATCTCTATTCAGCACTGATCTGAGCATTGTGGAAATAACTTAATTTCAGGACTCTGCCATAAAATTTAGTTTATTGAGGTAGTTAAGATTCACATAAACACCAGTAAGGAAGAAGAGGTATTCTGTCTGAAAGACAGCACTAGAGTAAACAAATAAGACACAGGCAGCCAAATGCAGGCTGGAAATGAGAAGTTAAGCACAATTAACTGTGGAACTCCTACCATAGGATACTGAGGGTGCTAAAAGTTTGTAAGGATTCAAAAGTGTTTGGACAAATTATTGGAAGAAAAATGCATTGGTAGCTATTAAGCATAACGAGATCATTCTGTACTAATGGCCACTATTTTTTTTTATTCTGAGGGAGTGAGAGTATTTCAGATTAAATAGTAAGCAAAAGTGACTGTATGGCTAAGCACTTGAAGGAACTCTTTTCCATTAGAGTTGCCACGTGGCTGGTTTCCAGCTTGCCTACATGGTTTTGGTTTTAATTTTTCAGCCACTGGTGGGACAAATGTTTTTGAATTTCTTAATTTGGAAGGACTAGGCACACTGAAGAATAACGTGAGCATGTTTGCACCCATGCCTGCACAACAGTTAATTGTTCAAGGTGTTCATTTTTCAGCCCAGAAACAAACCTTCACCTCCTCTCCCCATACATGTGCTCAAGATTAACTAAAATTCCTGACACTCCTTCTGGTGATAGCATATGACAGCCATACCAAAATGAAGCTGACAAACCCATTACACCTTGTTTAGAGCATCTGGTCAACTAACTTATTCATTATGTACAAGGAGCCTTATGGTGGGAATCTGTGCTAGCTGCATACCTGAGGTCTGAAACAATCTATAAGGCCATGCTTCAGGCTGCACCAGATGCAGTAATATCGAGCTGCAGTGCAAAATGCCAGAATAAAAATAATAAGACTGAATTGATTAATGGGTTTTCATTGCTTTATTTCTCTTGCTGCTGTTCTGATCAAAGTGCAGATATTGTTGTTCATTTTAAAAAGCACCTTAGATTTAGGCAATAGAAATGATGATATTTTTGTAGCCAATTACTTATCTTTTCCCTTATTTTCCTGATTTTCCCAATTTCCCTTATTTTCCCAATTTTCCCAATTACTTATCTTTTCAACAGTGTCCCGAGTTGCCCATTACTGGAGGATTGCTGCAAGGCAGGAAAAGGTGGACATGCCCAGAATGCCATTCCTACTGCAAACACTAAAATATACACACGAAGGTTCATGAACAATTCAAGTGTTTTCAGTTCAGTTGAAAACAGAGGAAAGCAAAATTTCCAGCTATTGATATTCAGTTTTCTCAGTCAGGTCTTAAAACATGTACTTCTAGCCTTCTGAAAGTTCAAATTTTTTTTTAAGTGATGTACAAAATCATGCAAAGTATTGCAGAAAAAAAGTAAGGAAATGTGAAATGCATTTAAAAGAAATTCTCCAAATCTAACATAGTGCTTGAAAGAAACAGATTCTGTCTTTCTAAATATAAACTCAGTTCAATCAAGTGTTACCCCTTTGAACATGAAACCTCTTATGGATATGCAATCAGTACTTTGAGCCTCATATCATTAATTTTCCAACAGAACTAGCTGTCATCACCAATTTTAATATGTTTCTCCTAGCCTAGAAAAGTAAATGCTGGTTCTGTGGAATGAACTGTGCTTTGTTTCATCTCATGTATCATCAGCAGAATCATTAATAAAGTCTGAGAACAGAATTTTACTCCTGATGAAGAACAAGCTAGAAGCAACACAGCTTAATGTTCACATCTCAAGAGGAGTTCATTAAAGATGCTGGGAAGGCATTGCAATGTGCAGAAAAAGCTTTAATCCACATCTGAACTTCCCATCTGTGCTCTCTGTAATAGGCTGAGCCAGATCGTGGGCCATCCATGGAATTCTTGATTCAGGTTTTGTGACAAGCATATTTTAGGCATTGTAGCTTTTTCCTCTTCTAGGAAGGTAGACATTAAGGTACCGGGATGCATCCATCCTTCTCTTCAGAAGGCTGTCTTTTTCAGAGAATAGTCCACATATAGAGTTCTTATAGAGAGGAAAAAAGAAATATATTTATGGAAAATTTAGCCTTTGAAAGTTTCCTCCCAAACCCTGTATTTAGCATATGACTTGTGTCATATGACAATTCATGAATACAATGCGTGAAGCATATCTGTGATAAATCCCTCCTCCTGTTCATCTGCTAATCCCTCTCATACACAGACATTTCCATATCTTCTTATTTCTGTTGCCCTCTTTTAGACTTGACTGTTTTCATTCCACATTTTTTCAAATACCTTGGCTGGTGTGCAAGGCAGTATTCAAAGACAAGTTGACCATTCTAAAGATTTATGAGTGCATGATCCTGTAGGGATCTTCTTTGCTTTTGTTAACCTGTAAGCATTAATGTTTCTAAGCATTTTTTTCCTGA